GTCACTGTGACTTTGGGAGATGTGGCTGTACTTACCGGGTTAGAGGTTGATGGGAGAGCTGTTACAGGCACTGCTTGTCGACAGTGGGTGGATGAGTGTGAGAGGTTGTTAGGCATCCGCCCCGTTCTTAGGGCTGACCTTCAGGGGTCATCTCTTAGGATGCCATGGTTGAGGGAGCACTTCCAGGCCCTTCCTCCCGACGCTGATGAGATGATCATCCAGCAGCATGCTCGGGCGTATATATTGATGATGATGGGAGCCTCCATTTTCGCTGACAAGAGCGGAAATGAGGTTCAGGTGCTACACTTGCCTTTGCTTGAGAGGTTTGATGTAGCAGCACAGTTTAGCTGGGGTAGTGCCACCCTGGCTTATCTCTACAGGCAGCTGTGTCGCGGGTGCCAGAGAGGGAGCACAGAGCTGGGTGGATTTTTGCTACTCCTCCAGATTTGGTCATGGGAGTATATCCACATTGGCCGTCCCATTATAGTTGGATATCATGGCATTGATGGACAGCCACTGCCTGATGAGCCTCCACGTCTGCTAGGACCACATCATGTACGGGGCGTGGACCCTCTAGGCCGTCGGTATGTTTTAAATCATTTGTATTTGTGTTACTTTTTGTTGAATGTAAATGCATTAATAAAATCCATATTATTGATATTGTAACATTAATGGTTAGGTGGCTATATGCTGGTTTATCTCGCATGTCATCCGCTACTGGCCTCGGTGTGTACAGGGATGCATTGGATCGGATGTCAGAGGACCAGGTATGGTGTGTGTAGTATAACAGTAACTAGAATAGGTGTAGAATAAATACTAATTTTGTATGTTTACGAAACAGATCACATGGATGCCGTATAGACCTGATATGTTAGCAGAGTTGCCCCCAGCTGGCCGAGAGCAGACTCACATATGGCGAGCACGTGTGCCGCTGATATGTTTTGACATTGTTGAGCTTCATTTGCCTGATAGAGTCATGCGACAGTTTGGGTTTGAGCAGGTCATTCCACGTCCTATCGACACTTATGTAGAGCTGCATAGGCTGGATAGGCGTGGGAAGCATACAGAGGATTGGGCACTCAGACATGTCCGATACGTGACTATGTGGGATAGGAGAGCTGAGCTAGCTGTGGCTGGGACACCCACATATGTGCCATCAGTTTCAGGAGATTACATGGGATGGTACTACAGCATCACTCGGTTGTTTGTGTCTCCTTCGTTCAGACTCCCTACTCATCATTATCAGCCTAGCTCATTGGCATTGCATCTTACAGTGAGTATATTACTAATTAGTAAAGTAAGTCATTTTATTTATGTAATACTTGTATGTATTTCAATGTAATTGTAATTGTGTTTCGTATTGCAGACACGAGCTTTGCAGCGCATACATCAGCGGGCTACTGCCACTGTGACTGATATTCCTGATGTGGACATGTATGGACAGACTCTGACAGGCATTGCCTCGTTATGCTCAGATGTGTTGGGTCGAGTAGACTACGGACATCTTATACACATGCCCGCATCTCAGGAGATGGCATCCACGTCTAGTGCAGCTGCGGCTTCATCATCCCAGACGCAACATGAGAGAGTGGTTCTTCAACCACGACAACGCCGTAGGCGTAGACATGAGCAGCAACATCTCCATGACGAAGCTGATGATGGGAACTTGTAGTTTGTCTTTTGTATTGTAGTTTTTCTTATGCAGTAGATGTTGTAGGAACAATTTACAAGTTTTGATGTATTTTCTCTTGTTGAGTATTCTATGTTGTATTGATGTGTTCGAGTATGAATATTATATGATTATTTGTTATGGCATATATGATGATTGAACTGTGTTATATCGGTTATGATTTGAAAGTTTTTTAGCGGTGTTTATAAGGTGTTTTTTTATGCTGTTGAGAGTAGGTGATTATAATGTGTTGTATCTAGTTCGTAATACTTTAACATCAGAAGGGAGACCTTATTTATAGCAAACAGATGAGTCTGGGTTGAACCGGAGCGAAAAACCTGATGAAATGCTGTTTTTGGACATAGGCACGATCGTGTCTACCTTTCTAGGCACGATCGTGCCTGGCTGGCAGTAGCTGCTCGGTTGTTAACATATTTCAGGGGAAAGTCGCCCAACGGTTGGGCGACTTATAAGTCGCCAAACCGTTTGGCGACTTATAAGTCGCCCAACCGTTGGGCGACTTTGCCCTGACCACGGTTAGGGCCAGCAGTATTTTGGTAAATACTTTTTTTCCAGCATTATTTCCGTAAATAATTAATTAATTAACATTAATACGGAAAAAAACTCTTTTATTTGTAATTAAAACATTTCAAAAACTACAAGGGTATATTTTCCAAACACACATAAATAGTCTTATTAGGGTGAATTAAATACTTGTAGTCCAATTTGTCCTCTTGAGCCACTTTTTTGACCTATTTAGTTTTTTAACTCGTGTATAATATGTGAATTATACGTTTGAGTGTATTGTTTCGTTTTTCTCATTTAAATCACTTCTATTGATTTATGTATACTATAATCACTATTTCAATCAAATCTAAAATTTTAAATGCATCAAACCCCCTTTTAATATATAAATTCAGCGGATTAGCTTCTTGTAATTTATAAAATTCATCAAACACCCTTGTGATATAATTATTAATGGCAACCCTCTCCAAACAACAAATTTGAAATCGTTTATCTTAATAATATGATTGAATATGCAAGTAGTTTTCTTAAGATGCCCAAATTATATAGAAATATTAATCATTTTTCATTTATTTGGCAAATAAATTTGTTCACAGAGAAGATTTTACGCATGATATATACATGCAAACGAGTTTGACATATTTTTTAAATCACATAGTCTAATGTGTCGAATTCATATTTCACAATGGGGGTTGGTGCATTAAATCCCTAACGAAAACCATTCCACTTTCTAACACATATACATTGATTCTAAAAACACATATTAGATCATATCATTCATTTATAACATAAGAAATATAGGAAAAAATGTTTTAAAGTGATATTTAACTAATATTTAACTTATGATCAAATCGATTCGATAATCGTATATGATTCGTTAACTATTCGTATTGTTAAACAAATACGAATATAAACCGAAAATATATTTGTGCCATATTTGAATAGGTATTCGAAATAATTAAATAAATAAAAATTCGCACTATTTGATTCAATTGGTTTACAGCCCTAATTGGAGAAAATGTTAAAAGAGGTATAAATCCATTTTAAAGCTGTAAAACGGTGAGGACTGACCTTATTATCAAAAATTGAAAGTCTTAAAATCACGTAAACTACAAAAATTGACAGCTATGGGATTTGAACCCACGCCCTTTCGGACCCGAGCCTAAATCTGGCGCCTTAGACCACTCGGCCAAACTGTCTTATTTGTTTTTCAGCTTCAAAGCATTTATATAATGTCTTAACGAATATCGATTAGTTATGATTACAAAAGTAACATCATTCATTTCACCATCAATCATAAATTGAATACAATCACCGATATATAAAAAAGTCCTTAGAGATATATTATGAACTATGAAGTAGTTAACTAGAAATCTAAAATGTGATCTCTCAAGTCGTTATTAACTAGAAATCTAAAATGTGATCTCTCAAGTCTAAAATGTGTTTTTATAGAATATGACTGTGAAACAAATTTTAAGTATTTACTTAAAATTGATCGCAAATAATAAAATATGAGAATATTGGGTACAATCTCTAAATATGAATCCTCTGATTCTTCACTTGCAATTTGAAGTAATATAATTAAAGAATTTAATTTAAAATTAAATCTCTAATCCTTCAAATATTCGAACGTTCTTCGAATCTTTGAATCTTCGTTCTTGAGATCTTCGAATCTTCGTTCTTTGGATCTTCAAATCTTCTTGAATAAAGAATTCAGATTGAAGGGCCTCCGGTTTCAAGTAGCTTGATCTTCAACAAAAGGGCCGTTTTATGGCTTAATCTTCTGTTTAAGGGCCTCCCGGGATATATGGCTTGATCTTCAATTGAATTTTGATTCAATCTTCATATGAATATCTTCAAATCTTCAAAGATTCGTTCTTCATATCTTCGAATCTTCAAAGTCTTGTTATTCGGATCTTCGAATCATCGAGCTTCGTTCTTCAGATCTTCGAACATTCTTCAGCTTTTGAACTTATTTTATCAAGAATAGATGAAATCACAAAGGATTATTCATATATTCTTGACAAAATCGTGGCTTGATCTCTTCCTCTTCTTCGGAATCGTTCAGAGCCTCTCGGGATTTCTTCAGAGCTTTGCTGCAGCGTTTCTTCGTCTGGAAGTTCTCTTTCATTCCTCTCAACTGAGACCCTATTTATAGGTGTGGAGGGGGTGAAAATATGGCTTAGGGTTGCATAAATTCGTCCATACCCATGGGCCCCAATTAAAATGGGCTTCGGGCTCTATTTGCTTGCATTTTAATAGCCATAAAAATCAGCACTTATATAATGTCTCTGGACAGCATTCTTAACAAGGTTCAGAGCTATTTCTCATGCATATGGACACATTTCTTAGCCAGATTCATCGCTCTCTTTATCAATTGGATCATGCCTCTTAGTGATTGGGTCACTATTTCATATTGGGCTTGAAATTAATAGGACCAGTACATTCTTTTAAAGATTTAATTTATAGTTAAATTAATTGGACGTTTGAGCGATCCAAATTAATTTAATCACTAAATTATATTCGAATGAGCCTATATTAATATTTTCCTCTTTTTTTATCAGGCCCAATAACCATCACAAGTAGCTCAGTAGAACTTGACATCAGCCCAATATCGTTTTAATGAGGTCCAATATGATTGGCCCATTAATTTTTATATGTCCACAAATGCCCCTCGAGACTTACTTGAGTGTTTGAACACGAGAAAGTAAGTGTCGAATTTAGCCATAAGAAAAATCCACTTAATAACTCAAAACTACAAACTTCTTTCTCTTTCTTTTTTTTTTGATCCACTTAATAATAATTCCTCGTAAGCCCAAAAGAGTCCATTGGTTTCACAATTTCATTTATGCATCAATCCATTCCCAATCACTCGGATTGAAGCAGCAACAACTCAAGCTTTTTTTTTAAAAAATCCTTTTAGGACTCTATCTTTCTGAAGTCCTTGCTAGAATCAATTGCCAGAAGAGAAACTATTTATTAGGAGTTTTCGAAATTTGTCTCCTGCTACGATCCTAATCCTTAAACCTGCGGCCAGCCTTTACATGCCAAGTTCAACTGTGATTCAAATTCTTCCAGCAACTTGTATAAATACCACCCTTAGCCGTCCACCTTTTTCACACGCATATTCATTGCTCTGTTTTAGAAGCCCAGCCGGTGGATAGCAACAAAGAAAAATAGGTAGATTTCTATTTAAATCAATCTTAATTTCCCTGTCTTTTATTTTATACTTTTGCAGGGGAAATTCGTTAGAAACAGAGCTCAAGATATTGCTGGCCGGAGTTTTGGTTGACGCAGCGGACACACGTTTTACAGAGGCTTCTGCTGCTGCGCCTTGGAGAAAGGAGGTCTCTGTTTCTGTTGGTTTGCTGAAGTTGGGATCAGTTTCTGATGATAGTCTTCAGCAATATTCTTCTGGTGGTGAGTGGCAGACAGTTTCAAGGAAGGTTGTTGCTGATTTCTCTCCTACCTGTACGCTTATTGAAGAAGAAGGCCTGGCCAAGCTTCGAAATTGATTTCTGGCCGGAGGAATCTGCTTTGTTGCTGAGATCTTTTGATTTACCTGGGAGAAGAAAGGTCACCGTCGGAGAAGGAGGTCTGGCCGAGCTCGATGCTGATTTCCGGCGAGGAGGAGCGACTGATCGATTTCTAGCGAGGGTGATCTGCAGCGGGCTTCTTTTGGTGATGAGCGGTGGATCGAGGCTTGGAAGAGGATTGCTGGTGCCGATCGCTGGAGAAGGAGATGATGTTACTGGTGCTGCGTGCCGGGCTGTTTGTTGCTGATGGTGGGCCGATTTATGTTGCTGGAGCCATTCGCTGCAGGAAATTAATGCTGAGATCCAAAGTGGCCAGTTCAATCGCAGGTAGCTGGTTGCTGTGAGAAGGATGTTGACGCCTCTTGCCGGACTGCTCGTGTTGGAAGCTAGTTGGTGTTGGAAAAGATTCTAATGCCTCTTGCAGGACTGCTCGTGTTGGAAGCTAGTTGGTGTTTGGAAGCTAGTTGGTGCTTGGAAGCTAGTTGGTGTTTTAGAAGCTAGTTGGTGTTTTGGAAGCTCGTTGGTGCTTTGGAAGCTAGTTGGTGTCGTCGTTTGAAGGAACCCGCCTTTGTACATGAGAGCTAGTTGGTGTTTGGCAGATTGCTCGTGCTCGTGTCGGATGCCGCGGAAGCTAGTCGGTGTTGAGAGCTAGTTGGCGTCGTCGTTGAAGGAACCAGCCGCTGTACACGAGAGCTAGTTGGTGTTTGGCAGATTGCTCGTGTCGGATGCCGCTTAGCCCTTTGTTGGGATGACACCGATTTAAGGAATTAGACCGGTTGCCGATTGTCGGTGCTGCTTAGCCCTTTGTTGGGATGGCACCGATTTGAAGAATTAGACCGATTCCCGATCGTCGCTGCTGCTTAGCCCTTTGTTGGGATATTGGCACTGATCAAGACTCCAAAGACGCCATTGATGTTGTCGTTCAAGAAATCATTGCTTTTGCTGTCGGCGTCACTTGCTCCGTTGTTGGGATGGTGGCGTCGTTCAAAGTTCAAGAGACACTACTGTTGCCACTGTTGTCGGTGCCACCTGCTCCGTTATTGGGATAGTGGCATCATTGTGAAGACGTCGTTTGAAGCTCAACTCAATCAACTTCCGATGAGGAGGAGATCAAAGAATTCCCAAGCCTGTGCCATTCATCTGACTTTTTGCTTTCGTAAGCCCTCTTCTGATATTTTTTTTTTGACAAAGTGACTTAATTGGGATTTATTTTGTTATAACTGAACTCAAAAATGAAACTTTTGAGCTGCCTACGTACTCCTGTGAAGAAGATCAAGTCAAACGTAGTTCATAAGTACCATTTGAATTGGTAATCTAAGTGGGTGGGGTGCCATACACAGTTTTAACTCATGCGGGCCAGGAGCTTGCCGTACACATTTTAAACTCTCGTGGGCCAAGAGTATCTATGATTATGCTCACCCATAGACAAAGTGAGATGTTTTAGCAGATTAGCCACTTACAACATCATTGGTGGTTTAAGCCATTCAACATTTCCTATGGCCATATGCATACCCCAAATATCAAGGGTAGTAGAGCTTTAGGAATCTCCCATTGATCGGGCCAATCTTTGAGCCATCTGCGTCGACCAACTTGTAGGCACCGCCTGAATATACTTCTTGAACAACATAAGGACCATCCCATTTAGGCGAGAACTTGTGTCCAGTTTTCCTTGTAATAATGATAGGTCTTCGCACAGCTAGAACTTTATCACCAACTTGGAAAGAACGAACTCTAACTCTCTTGTTAAAAGATCTTGACAAACGTGCTTGATAGCATTCTAGGTTCTGCTGAGCTTCTAACCTCTTTTCATCAAGTGCCTCGAGTTCTGTCAACCGCAACTTTACATTTTCTTCATCAGTAAGACCTTCTTGAATAGCCAATCTTAAAGATGGTATTTGGCGTTCAAGGGGAAGGACTGCTTCAGTACCATACACCAAAGAATATGGAGTACTTTGGGTAGGTGTTCGATAAGTCGTTCTGTATGCCCATAGTGCTTCTTCCATTCTTTCGTGCCAATCTTTCTTTGACCTTGACACTACTTTCTTTAACAGGTTGCACAGAGTCTTATTGAAAGCTTCAGCGAGGCCGTTGGCAGCGGCATAGTACATAGAGGACTTTCGTTGCTTGAAGTCGAACAACTTGCATATCTTTTCCATCAACTTGTTGTCAAAAGGTTTCCCATTGTCTGTCAAGATATATCGGGGAATGCCAAAGCGGTAAATAATGTGGACTCGGATGAAATCAGCAACATTTTCCTTCTTTACCTCTTTCAATGCAACTGCTTCAGCCCATTTTGAGAAATAATCAGTAGCGGCTAGTATGTATGAATGCCCTCCTGATGAGCTAGGCGTGATTGGTCCAACTACATCAAGTCCCCAAGCATCAAACGGCCATGATGCTACTGTCGGATGCAATGGTTCTGGTGCTTGATGGATAAAATTTGCGTGATATTGGCACGCTTGACATCTTCTGGCATAATCCATGCAATCTTTCACCATAGTCGGCCAATAATATCCCATTCTCTTGATGTGAAAGTGCAATTTAGGACCGGACTGATGAGCTCCACATACTCCAGAATGTGCCTCTTCCATGGCTTGTAAGACTTCATCTCCACCCAAACATCTAAGGAATAGACCATCAAAAGATCTTCGATAAAGTGTATCCCTATAATAGATGAAACGTGGTGAACGCCTCTTTAAGTCTACTTTCTTGCGGGGATTTTCAGGTAACTTCCCATCAGTAAGATAATCAATGAGTGGCTGTCTCCAATCTTCATTTTCAATATCATAAACCGATGTAGTTGGCATCTCGATTATCTCTTCGGCTGCACCATCTTCTCCGATGAAAGGAGGAATTACCCATTTTTGACATACCCGTACTTGAGTTTCATCGTCAAGATGTGCCATGTTTGATGCTAACCCTGCTAGTGCATCAGCTTGCTTGTTTTCTTTTCTCGGCACGTGTTCAATTGTAACTTCACCAAGCCATCCAATGAGTGCCCTTGCATATTTGTTGTAAGGATGTAGTTCAGGTTTCCTTACTTCATAGATTCCAAGCACTTGATTGATGATCAGTTTTGAATCGCCATAGATATTAACCCGCGTTTGTTTCATGTCTACAGCTATTTCAAGTCCGAGGATGAGGGCTTGATATTCTGCGACGTTATTTGAGCAATGTTCCATGAGTGTGAATGCATATGACAGAACTTGACCTTCGGGTGTGACAAAGACAACACCAGCTCCGGCTCCTTCTCTATGTGCAGCCCCATCAAAATACATCTTCCATGGAGGCAAAACTTCGATTATAAGCACATCTTCATCGGGTAGATCATCAGAAAGTTCCCATTCAGCAGGGATAGGGTGATCAGCTAGGAAATCTGCTAAAGCTTGTCCTTTTACAGACTTTTGTGAGACATAGACGATCTCAAACTGTTGAAATATCAAGTACCACCTAGCAAGACGATCAGATAAAACCACTTTGGACATCACATATTTCAATGGATTCGCCCTAGAGACGAGGTTTATGGTGTGAGCTTCGAAGTAATGTTTAAGCTTCTTAATTGCGAATATGAGAGCCAAACACAACTTCTCAATGGGCAGGTACTTCAATTCGTGTGGGGTCATCATTCTGCTTAAATAATAAAGGGCATTCTCCTTTCCTTTATCATTTTCTTGAGCTAAAAGAGCTCCTACAGATCTTTCTTGAGCCGCAATGTAAAGTATCAAAGGGCGACCGGAGATAGGAGCATTTAGAACTGGCGGCTTCATCAAATAAGCCTTAATTTTATCAAATGCATTTTGACACGCTTGGTCCCATATGAAAGGCACGCCCTTCTTCATTATTCGACTAAATGGTTGACATCTTCCAGATAAATTCGAGATGAACCTTCGTATGTAAGCCAGCTTCCCTTGCAAACTCTTCAACTCATGAATATTTCGAGGCTCGGGCATATTTACAATAGCATCAATCTTGGCTTGTTCTATCTCAATGCCTTTGTGGCGGACAATAAATCCCAAGAATTTCCCAGCTGAAACTCCAAAAGCACACTTCAGAGGGTTCATTTTGAGACCAAACTTTCTCAGGCGATCAAACACTACTCTTAAGTGTGGTAGATGCTCATTTCGGGCCTTTGACTTCACCACGAGATCATCAACATAGCACTCCACGATTTTGTGAAGAATATCATCAAATATTACCTGCATAGCTCGTTGATAAGTAGCTCCAGCATTCCTAAGTCCAAACGGCATGACCGTGTAACAATAGATTCCCTTAGGAGTTCGGAACGCCGTCAATTCTTCATCCGCGGGAGCCATACGGATCTGATTATAACCGGAAAAACCATCCATAAATGACATAATTTCATGCCCCGTCACAGCATCTATCATTAATTCAATGATAGGAAGTGGAAAGTCATCTTTTGGGCAAGCAAGGTTAAGATCCCGAAAATCAACACATATTCGGATTTGTCCATTTTTCTTTCTGACCGGGACAATGTTGGCTATCCAAGTAGGATATTTTACTTCTCGGATGAACCTAGCATCAATAAGTTTATCTACCTCTGCCTCGATTAATGGGATTAAATCTGGGCGGAAGCGCCTTTGAGCCTGCTTTACTGGTCGACATCCTTTCTTTATCGCTAAGTGATGAACAGCGACCTTTGGGTCTAATCCCGGCATTTCTTTGTAAGTCCATGCAAAGACATCCTTGTACTCTTGAAGTAAGGCTACATATTCTTGCTTTTCTTCACTCGAGAGAAGAGCACTGATATAAATGGGGCGAGGATCTTCCTCGGTGTCAAGATTTACTTCTTGTAATTCATCCAAGGCGGTTCGCACTCCTTCTTCAAACTCAGGAGGAGCTTCATCAGCATCTTCACCTTCGGCTGGAATTTCGTCTTCAAAAGTAACATGGTAAGATGAGGCAATGTATTCCTCGTCATCGGCCAGTTCATCAAATATCAACTCATTGTTTTGAAGCATTTGAGTGTGAACTATGGTTTTTAGTTGTGCTTTGAGAGTTTCTCCACACGAAACTTTTACATCAGTTTCTCGTCTCATTCTTGACGGAATCAAGCTTCTGCATTCATTCAAAGCTTGTGCCTTTGCATATTTGTTGAAAGACCTCTTACATGAGCGAATTTTCCCCAACCTTTCATGTACTGGTTTCCGTGCAAAGTTTTGCCCACTACATGGATCTTCAACGTCCTTTACGATCATCGAGATCATTGCAAGCCTTTCTTCTAAATTCTTCTTCGTGATCTTCTTTGGCTTTGGCCCTATTCTGTCAAATATGGCGGGCCTTGATCTTGCCCCCCCAATCCGATCAAAGACAGAATACTTCGGTTTAGAAGTCACTTCATCTTCTTCACCAGCACTGATATGATGCGTTGCGGCTCTATTTATGAGGATCCTTATGGGTTTCGGCTGAACATAACCCAATCCTGTGTGTCCTCGAAGATTGATCTGCTTCGGTTTCCCTTCACCACCAGCTTCTGGAATAAGTTTTCCCAAAATCTGTTCGTCGGGATTATACCCAGCCTTGGCCAGAAGTTTGTATGCATTTGGGTCAAATCCTTCATTTGTGCGTGCCTTAGGGAGCTGAAATGTCTTAACATCATTCTCGTGTTTCACTTCATCCTTGGATGTGTTTCGAGGGTGCCTTGATATTTCAATCTTTGCAAGAGGGAATACAAGCCCTTCTACGCTTTCAACGAGCTTCCTTTTCAACTTTGGTTCAGCCAAGGGGCGATACTCTTCTTCTTCTCTTCTTGCATCGTCATCTTTAAAAACTTTGGTCTTTAGATAAAACTTTGCGTCTGCAAAGTATGTCTCGGCTTCTGTGAATGGAGTTTCATCGGCTACTACCTTCTTTACAACGCCATTTTCCTCATACATGAAGCATTGATGCCACGTTGAAGGAATTACACCATTCTCATGGATCCATGGGCGGCCCAAAAGGAGATTGTATGAAGCCTTTGCATCAATGACATGGCATAGAGTGCTTGCCTTCAGCCCGCCGATGATCAAGTCAAGACGTATCATTCCAATCGCCCTTTGCCCTCCTTGATTGAAACCTTGAATCATTAAGCGGCTTTGAGATAGTTCATCCATGGATATATCAAGTTCTTTCATAGCTCGGACCGTCAAAATGTTAACG